AGGATTTTTTAATTTAGCTTTAGAATGACCATTTCATCATCCTACCTCGACATAGACACCGACCTCCAGTCACCTTTTCTCCTACACCACCATGCTGTCTGCCCACAGGCTCCTCTGACCTCCCTCGTCCTTCTTCCACCTCCAGCAGTTAGCCTCTAGGGTTTAGCCTTGGCTAGCCATAGCCTCTTGCTGCTCATTCTCCCTGGCAGGTTCCCCTGATTCCCGAGCAGCAGTAGCCTCTCCCCCACCATCTCAGTTCTTTTTCTCCAACTTATCCGATCTTTAGCCATGCCCCTTAGATCGTCTGCAGTTAGCCTAGCTAGCCTAAGTCAGCTTTAGCTTATCCTCGCCCTGGCACTGTTTCCCAGGTGGACTTATCCGAAATTCCGCTGTGCTCTTCCGCTCTCCTCTTGAGCTGCCTAATGTCCCCGCTCCGGTGCGCTGGCTGCCCAATGGGCTCCTACGATCTACCAAGGTGGTTCCTTAGCTCCAGAGAAGAGCACGACTGACTCTCTCCCGATGTTCTCACACTGATTCCCCGATGCTTCTGACTGAGAACGCTGTTTTGGGCACACTGAATAAAAGAAACATGGACCAAGCACATGAGAAAGATGCTAGTCCACTTACTAATCAACAACACCATCACTTACAATTGCTGATCTTCGCAATCCCGGCCGGTCGCCGATCGAGGCCAATCACGTGAAAATCAGCCAATTTCCGAGCACTGCTGATTGATCAGTGCAGGTCTAATAAAAACTGTTACTGTACTATTAAAATAGACAGATGATTGGTATTGGATCTACTAGGCGTGAATGTGTCAAGAACAAACACCAAGGATAATGGGGAGATCAGGAAACTGCCAGTTTCCCCTGATAGCTGCAGGAGCATGAAGCCCAGCAGATGCAATCTGCAATGACGGACTTGACAGAACATTGTTAATGGCATTCACTAATTTCTTTTAACTGATATATTGTGGTAAGGTTTGGTCATTTTTCTTTTAGAAAATTTTTCACTGTCTGTTCTTTAACAGCATACAAATGCTGCAGTTTTTAGAGATGTAACAATACATCCATCTAAAATCGATTAAATAAGTTAATATCCAGTTACATCGATTAAATATTAAAATATCGATTTTTACCATTATCCTTAGAATATGCTAGCTTACATAGCATAAATGTATCACAAAGTGAACAGGTGATTTGTATTTTAGTTTGAAAACATCGTAAAGTGTATGCCCACCCTTAGCAGGATCGGATAATGTCTTTTGATATCGGATATAGGAGATAAAATCCAGTGAACTATACATGGAACTGTTATTTCTTTATCTGTGCTCCTTATTTGTTGATAAATAATATTAAAAAAACATGTGTTAATTTGTTAAATCTTTTTAAACAATGTTTGTCAAGTCTAAAGCCTTCACTAACCCGACAAGATATATGGTTCATTCATTCACCAGCTGAATCTGATCAGTATCGGATATCGGCCGATACACTCAGCTCAGGTATCGGTATCAGATTGAAAAAACTGGGTCGTTGCATCTCGAATATAGATGCACATGTGCTAGAAGGCATAGGATATATAATTAAAATGGATCGGAGACCGGCGAGCCGAATTTAATCAAAATCATAACGGGACAGACTTTCTGAAGGATTATAAGATCCAACAATTTAATACAATACTCCATTGTGATAAAGCTGGTGATTTACACCACTAGCATGTTGTATGAAATAAATACAGATCTGAATTATCCCTGAGTGATGTTTGACAGCAAAACTCACCAGCTTTAATGTTTTAATGTTGCCAGTGCAGAGTGAGTTGTGAAGAATTTTGTGGATATAATTCACCATGCCAGGCTGTTTGATTATTTATTGAACTATAGAGTGTTCAGCTCACACAGACTTTTCAGGAGAGGAAAGTGGAAAAAGATGACACCTAAAGCGGATTGAAGTTTTTTAACATGCAGAAATAAGAAAAAAGGAGGCGGTGCTACTTTCCAAATGTGGTTTACATATTCAGATCTATGGAGTCTAATCCCAGCCCTTCTGAATGTTTTTTTTAATATTCACATAGTGCAACATTATTCGTTCAAAGATTTCAATTGTGTCCCGACTTGTTAAGTTTTACAGCAGCCAGAAAATAACCAGTTTTATCCGATCATGTGTGTTTAAGGAAAGAAGACAAGCTTGGCATCTTTTACAGCAGCCTGTTGCAATTGCCTCCCGGTAAAGGTGTGTAAAAAAAAAAAAAAAACTTGGATGATACAATTATCTTTTTATTGCAGTATTATAATTTTATACTAAAAACACAATCAGATCAGTAATATATAACCTTTGAATTTGAGCTAATTCAATCAGTGAGAAAACAACCTTAAAGACGCCCTATTCTACATCACTTTTAAAAGAATAAACATAATAATAAACAATAAAAATCCTATCAGTCTGGCAGTTTCTAGAGCATTAGGAGAACTGTGAAGCATACTGAAAGTGATGTGAAATCACCCCATGCAGGCACATTGCTTGTCTGCCTATACACAAAATAGTTTTCAAATGTAGACCATTCCTGCATTTTATTTGTTGATTTGCTTTTTTTCAGTGAATATCTATGACCCAGTCATTAATTTAGTTAAAAGTTGGATTTAGCTTGTCTGCATGCTAAATATGTGGCACATAGGTTGCATATAAATGTGTTGTCCTCTATATGTTGTAAACAGTGTTGTAAAAGCTCTTCTGTTTCTGGTTTCATGTTCCACTTAAAAGTTCAAGATTATAAAATAAACTTTAAAAAAGGAGAGACATGACCTGTGTAAACAGGAAAAGTAGTTTTTCTGTCATGATTTTATTTATTAGCGGGACAGCTGTCTGCCCTCATGTAAAAATGGGATTGTGCTCCTGTTTTAAATCATAAAAGATAAAGAAGGCTTGTAGTTGTAAGTCTCACTTTTCATTCTTAAAATCAGAGTTCCTGAGTGAACTGTAAAGAAAACATTAAAACAAGAGGCAGGGCAAAAATGGCCTAAATTGCAGAGTTTTCAAGACTATAACTACCAATGACCACAAAAAGAACACATTGTTTCTGCACCTTATCCAAAAAAAAATAAATAAAAAAAAACTTCCAGACTCTCTGGAAAACATTCTGTGCACCGACAAGACACAAGAGTAGGGCTGCAATTAACGATTATTTTGCAAATACATGAATCAGTCGATTATTTTTTCAATGAATTAATTAATAATCGGACATCAAAACTAGAACTTTTCCACTTGAGTCCTGGATAGAGAAAATTGACAGATGAAAAAGATGTTTATCTTAAATGCAAAATATTTATATATTTTTTTTTACAATTGTGGTATAACTGCTGCTCAAGGTGGGTTGCTCTGTCAGTTAAAGGCATGTTTTAGAGTCTCTAAACTCCAGTTAACGTTTAATTGATTACTTAATTAGTTGATGATTATTTCAATAATCCATTAATCAGATTACTTGTTTCAGCCTTACCAGGAGGGGTTTCTAACCATCGCTATATGACAATGCAAGCAAAAACACCAAATCAAAAAGGAGGTGGTTTTAAGGCGGCCTAGTCAAAGCCCTAACTTAAATCTGAATGAGCTTTGATGCTCAGAAACCTTTCTACATAAGAGAGTGTGTCCAAATTAATAATTTATAGGGATAATTACCAAGTACTGCAAAGGATTGTTGCAGAACCCGGTATTAATTTAGTTACATATAAGTTTCTGGATTAATCTCCTCTTTTCACACAGTGCACAGCTGGGTAATGTAAGGTGGAGTGGCGGCCTAGTGCTTAGGGCATTAAGCTTGGGTTCCAGAGGTTCTGAGTTCGAGCCCCACTTCCATAGAATGCCGCTCTGGGTCCATGAGCAGAGACCCTTAACCCCACTTTGATCCCCGGGTGCCACACAGTGGCAGCCCACTGCTACCCAAGGGGATGGGCTAAAAACAGAGTGAATTTCACTGCTCTGTACTTGTGACAGTATAATGACAATAAAAGGTGGAAAAATAAAAAATTAATAAATAAATATTTTTTTCTGTAACAAATGAAATCAACCTTGTGTTGCTTTTTGTATTTCCTCAAATTATGTTTGTACAATATTAACATATTATTGATCATCTGAAACTTGAAAGAAGAAACCTGGGAGGGGGTAAAAACTTTTTTTTTTAAGTACTGTATAAAACCACCCTCCTGCCATTCCAAATATAGTGAACATGGTTGTCATCTTGTTGTAATTCAGGATGCAGCTGACAGCTTTTATACTTCTATGACTGTTCCTACATCAGATTTATTACATGATCAGCACACTGGTGTAATGCGCAGAGGCCTCCACTCTGTCACAGCTGGACATGAGCATGGTTCTTGTTTAATGGAAGAAGCAAAGCTCTATCCCAGGCTAAGACTTCTCGAAAACACTTCCAAATCACGCGAGAAAACGCAACAATGCCATTATCTTTTATGTTTATTTAACCGTTTTGTTTGTTTAAAAACAAAACGAAGAGCTACATTGTTAGAGCCTGACAACAAGTTTGGCGTGTGTCCATCCTGTAGCTGTTGTGTTTTCAATGTAAAAACAGCCAGAAAGAACAGGCAGGCAGTGTTAGCACCAGGGCTGCTTTGTGCTAGCATTTGGCACCGTTTGTTGTGCTTCTGTAAGAGTGACTCCTCACTCACACTGAGACCAGTTTCCAGCAGTGTGAACGGTAAATAAACAAAGAATGGCGTGATACTGAGGGTTCATTTCAGCCTGTCGGTAACAGGACCAACGGTCTGGGTTTAACCGGTTCGCTGTCACCCGTTTGGGAATTCCTGTGCTCGTTTGTGAAACAAAGCAAGGACAGAAGAGGCAGCTCAGGCTAGATTTACACAGTCACCATAATCGCATACAGTGTGTGTGCTGTTTCTGAGCCCCCTCCGCAACAACACAGTGACCGTTTACAGCTGAGACATCTCTCCGCTGTAACTGTCAGACTCATCCGAGATGAGACAGCCCTCTAACCTTTGTAATGGACCCGCAGGTTGTTCTGTGACAGCCCGATGTAGCTGTATTTATCCTTGGGGCTCCAGGATCGGGGTAAAGGGGTCTCTTCCTCGTTCACAGCCGGGTAGAGCCGTTTCAGCCGCTCGTTCAACTCATGCTCTTGTTGGTAGCTAAAAGCTGGTTCTCCCAACGCCAGACACCCTACGCCGAGTTCGGCCATGTTTTTTTCCTTGGCCTCCGGTTGGCGTCCTATTCTCGGTCTGTTTCCAGCCAGAGACCCGTGTCAGTCCACCAGAGCTGTAGGCTGATAGTGAGAGGGACTATAGGGAGAAAATAGCAGCGATGCGACATCACCGGATAAGCAGCAGTCTGTACTGAATCCGTAGAGCTGGCATTATGGGTAATGTAGTTTGCCCATAGTTCACTGTAAGGTGGAACGCTTTAGAAAAGACTACACAGTTCCGCGTTGTGGCTATGCGGAACCTTCCGCTGAGAAAGCTGGGAAATGTAGTTTATTTTCATAGAAACGTCAATATAAGTT